ATAAGAAGAATATTCTGAAAAGAAGATTGGCTGTTTAAAGATAAAGGAACATCAGGGTCAGCCGCTAATGTCAAAGGCAAATAAATACCGTTCCAAGTTTTGAAGATAATATACACTAATAGTGGGTTTTAGCTGGATTCAGTCTGATGCAGGTGCATGTTTAGCAGCTGCGAAAGCAACACACTAACACACACATTCACACATAAACATGCACACAGAGAATAATATGAACTAGCTCCCTTAAAATGTAGAGAACCGAACACTGTAAACAAAAACCTCAAAAACTAATGAACTCATATACATTCTTGAACAGTAGCTCTCTATCTCTAGGTGATTTTTCAATTTCTAACAGTCCAAGATTTTAAAGCATAAATGGACCCATATTCAGGCTGAAATTCTAGGAGAAAAATTCTTTCTCCAAAATGCTTACTAATGGAACTTTAGCAAATGACCTTAATATTTTTGTATCTCCATTTTCTCATTTTACAAAATATCATACAGTAGAACTTATCTCCAAGGCATATTACTAGGCTGACATTTAAACATAATATATGTATACAAAACACTTAGCTCATACCTAATGCTAAATAAATGTTAATTATTATGTTATTACTATCCCATAGTTGATTAATAGTTTTGGTGAAGAAATAAAAAGCAAAATCATAATTTATTTTATCAGAAATCTTACTTGAATTCATAAATGTATACTTGTCTACTAATTTTTCAGTTAATCACTATATTTACTTTATTGGTGGTCACTGACCAACAGAAAACAATTACATTCATTCACAAATATACAATTAGTATTTATGGAAAGCTGGGTACTATTTTAGGTTAGATAGGAATTAAATGTAGTAAGTTTTGTTGTTGCTATTGTTTATTGTTAGCATTAGTAATTGAAAAGATTCTCACAGACACTGTAAGAATCACTGACTCAGACAAATAGCTCACATAGCTGAGAGAATATCCAAGTCACATTCAACTTTAATATGAGTTGTTCTTTGTATTAGTCTGGCACTGCTGCTGTAAGAAACAGCACAAACTTACCGCAAATTTAATGGCTTTAAATAACATATTCTCATCGCCTTACAATTCTGGAGTTCACAAGGCTGAAACAGGTCTTGCTGAGCTAAAATTAGGATGTTAGCAGGGGTAGCAGGGTTCTGGAGGTTCCAGAGAACAATCTGTTTACTTGCCTTTTGCAGCTTCTAGAGATTGTCTGCATTTCTTAGCTCGTGGTCCCCTTCCTTCCATCTCCAAAGCCTTCTTGTGTTGCCATGACTCTATTCTCCCCTTATGCCTCTCTCTTTCACTATTAAGGACCCTCAGGATTACACTGGGACCACTGAGATAATCCAGGATAACCTTTATATTTTAAGGTCAGCTGATTAGCAAATAATTTCATCTGCAACTTTAATTCCCTTTTGCCATGTAACCTAACACAGGTTCCAGGGATTAGGATGTGGGTATCTTGAGGAGCCATTATTTTGACTACCACCTACCTCTCAAATGATAATTTTAAAGCCACTACTATGTTCAATGCACTTGAATGTTTGAAAGTGTTTTAAGTATCTGCATAAATATATAAAAACTATATATACCTATGACATGAAGAGTAGTAAAGTAGGAAGGATCAAATATAAATATATATAAATATATATATATAAATGTATATACACACATACATATACACGCACACACACACACAACGCATAGGGTGAGAGAAAGTCTCTTTGAAAAGGTGGCATTTGGAAAAAGACTTAAAGAAGGTGAAAAATTGAAAGAGTTTATGGGGGACAATTTCAAGCAGAGAGAGCAAAAAGTTCAAAGGCACCAAAGAGGTAGGTTGTTTGTGCCCTTGAGATATGGCCAAGAAGACAGGACAGTATGGCTGGAATGCAGTGAGAACGGGAGAGAGGGGAAAAGATTAAAGTGTGAAGAACAAAAGAGGTAGAACACCTACGGCCTTGTGAGTTATTTAACCCAGAGAGAGATACATTTGAGAAGAAGTGTCACAATCTGAAAAGCAGCATATGGTTGTGTACAAAATACACTGCTGGAAGGCAAGGTTGGAGGTAGGAAGACCAGTTTAGAGGCTACTCTAATAATCCAGGTGAGAAATGGCAGTGATTGCACAATAGTGGAAGCAAAGGATGTGCAGAGACATGTAGGATTCTGCATATATTTAGAATAAATAGAGTGGCAGCATTTACTGATGAAAATAATTTGAAGTCAAAAATAAGAAAGGAAAATAATTCTAGACAACCCGAAGATTTTGTCATGAGCAATGGAGGAACACAGCTCACATTCACAGAAATGGAACAAACTATAGGGGAAGCATGTTTAGAAGAAAAAATCAAGAGTTCCATTTTTGCACATGCTAATATTATAGATAGCTATGGATACCTGCTGTCAGAGAGTACTATCTAAGTTTAAAAGAAGAGAGAATAAATATTGATATCTATGACAGATATCATAGATATGTTTTATTAGGTTCAGGGATACATGTGCAGGTTTGTTGTATGGATAAACTCATGTCATGGGGCTTTGTTGTACAGATTATTTCATCACCTAGGTACTAAGCTTAGTACCCAATATTTATTTTTTTCTGATCCTCCCCCTCCTCCCACCCTCTACCCTCAAGTAGGCCACAGTGTCTTTGTGTCCATGTATCCTCATCACTTAGCTCCCACCTATTTCATTTTATTTTTGGTAACTTTATTTATTTATTTATTTATTTATTTATTTATTTATTTATTATTCTTTATGTTCTAGGGTACATGTGCACCACGTACAGGTTTGTTACATATGTATACATGTGCCACGTTGGTGTGCTGCACCCATTAACTCGTCATTTACATTAGGTATATCTCCTAATGTTATCCCTTCCCCCTCCCCCATCCCACTTACTAAATGAGAACATGTGGTATTTGGTTTTCTGTTCCTGCATTAGTTTGCTAAGGATAATGGCATCTCCTCTTTGAATAAAAGATCTCCTGTGTTGAAGCTGGGCACATTTCTTAGCGTCTCTTGAAGTCTGGCATGTCTATGTGCCTTAGTTATGGTCATTGGTATAAAGAGGCAGGGGTGTGTACCAACTCTTGGTTGTGCCCTTAAAATACTGATATTTTTTCTTCTGACCTTTTTTCCATTCCAGCCACTAAATGTCTAACATAACAGAGTTATCCTACCAGCTTTGCTCATCTACATCAGAGAGATTAACTGATACATCTCTTAAGTCAATATATCTTGGGGTCTCTTTTTTATAGAAGCTTAGCTTGTATATTCACTAAATATAACATCTAAGAAAAATATATTGACAAGGCAGCTGAATACTGAATAAGTCTGTTCAGGGGAGAGTTAAAGAATAGAGAAAGGCACTGGGAATCTTCAGCATCTAGATGATCTCTGAAGCCAGGGGACTGAATGAACTGCTGATGTTAATTTATTTTCTTCAGACAGAAATGAATTTTCCCCACCTTTATGGGTCCACTCCACTATGATCAAGTAGGCACTAAAAAACATGGCTTTTGCCTTTTTTTTTTTTTTTTTTTCCATTTGGTTACTGCTGTACAGACCCACAGTACTAGCCAGAACACTAGAGACCATGTAAGCCTATCAAACCCAGAATTGAAAGTGATTATTTGTCTTGGAAGAAGATCAAGTCATTTTATTTTACCATTCCTTATCTTACTATGCAGAGGCCAGACTCTTTTTTTTTCTGCTCGGATATTTAGCATTACAGTTTTGGTACTGAATACTATGAGCTTCACTCTATCACAGTCAAATACTGAAGAACCCAGAAGTCAGAGATACTTTGTTTGGTCAGACTACACCTATTTTTTTTAAAAAAAATAAAGTTGAGGGACTTAGGTACTAAATTTTGTCTTTCTAGAACCCACAAAAGCCCACAACTATCCATAGTGTTACACGTCATTTCAATTCACACATGTATACAATTAATTTGGCACTGATAGGTACTTAAGTTTGGGGTTTAAGCTAAAAATCATTCTTGGAAGAATTAAAACCTTATGCAAAATTTATACAGCATGTTTTATCTTGCAGAGATTTCTTTACTTTGCACACATGGGCTACTGAGACTTCATACTGAAACTTTATAGCCTAAATCTATGTATCTTTGTTTCTAAGAGTAGTTTTATTGAAGCACTGGAAACAAACAAACAAACAAACATATTTAGGTTTCTCCTTCAAATACAAGGTGAATTACTTTATACAGACAATACAAGAGAGGGGAGGCATTAGAGTTCACCAGGCTGGAAGCCAGGACCTAAGCTCTGAAAGTCTCAATGGGCCCTGAAGGGTTAAGGAGAGCTTGGTTGTTGATGACTGTAGGTGTAAATGTTCAGAAGATCACAGTTAGAGTGACACTTTGTCTTAGAATTTATGTTCTGCAATTAGTTGATTTTCTTGACATTATCTTTCTAAAGCATTGTACATTGGGACCACAACAGGGCATAAAATTGGTTCCTTTTCCTTCTCTGACAAAGGACCCTAGGATGAAGAACCATCAAGTAGATTTTCTCCCTATTATTATACTTGGGATTTCAAACCTATTGAGGAATTTTTGCTCATAAAACCTTACTTAATAAAGTCCTTCAATAATCTACTGTGGAAAAAAATCTATATAATTAAATAAAATCAGAGACATAGCTTATTATATATCAATGTGTGTATACCAAATGTATATGAATACATTTTATTGAGCCATGAATCTGAACACCAACTGAATCGGGTTGTTCTCAGATTTGCCCAGCATTTTATGAAACCTATTATTCTTATTTGACATTAATGCAATATAACAGACCATAGTGACATTTGATTACATTCCGTTTTATTATTGCTTTGTAGCAAATTGTTCTCACCAATAAATGATAAAAATGCAGAGGCAATTGTAGTACAAACACGAAGACATTTATTCCTCTTTTGTGTTGTAAGAGCATCCAGAAGTATATGAACAGCATAGACTTGGTCTCTATTTATCTCATCTTGAAATGACTGTATCACAAATAAAAAAATTAATATATATTACAAGCTAGATAAGAGTACATTTCTAAGCTAATAAAAAATTTAAAAATTATATATATTATAACTGGTTTCTTATATGTAACTTAAAGACTGATTGAAAAATGTAAAATATTAACTGATACATAAAACCTAATATCCCATGTAAATTATTAGACTATTATTAACAAGTAAGGTACATACCCTGAATATTAATGTTCATATATGCTTAGTCTGTTATTCAATGTCTTTATAGTGTGAAATATTCTCTGCAATAACTATCCATAAGCTATTTCAAAGCGTATATTTTCCAGTCCCTTTTTGACAAATATTTCTTGGCAACAAGGAAATAAAACAATGTTGGTTGGATTTATGTATTCAATTGCTTTAATATTTTTATTTTTCCATAATTATCATTAGGTTGTGATTCTATCTATTTATATATGGTCATGTGTCACTTAATACCTGGGGTAAGTTCTGAGAAATGCATTGTCAGGCAATTTTGTCATTGTGTGAACATTGTCAAGTATACTGTATTTACGCAAACCTAGATGGTATAGCTGTTAACACAGCAAGGATAAATGATATAGCCTATTGCTCCTAGACTATAAATCCATACATTATGGTGCTGTACTTAATACTGTAAACAATTATAAAGACAATGACAAGTACTTGTGTATTTAATCATAGATAAAGTACAGTAAAATATGGTATAAAAGGTAAAAAGTGGCACACCTGTATAAGGCACTTACCATGAATGGAGTTTGCAGTTAATTATATATAATTTTGAGACCACCATGGTAAATGTAATGTGCTGTTGATGAAAACGTTGTTATGTGGCACATGACTGTATGTGTGTTTGTGTGTATGTAGGTTTATGTGTGTGTGTACACTCATTACTTTTCCATTTAAATACTCGATGTGAGGAGAAGATAACTAAGATAAATTACAAGAATGTCTAATTTTATCTACTAATTAATATATTTTCCATAGTCTGGACCATCCTTCTATATAAATTAAGTTTAATAATTTGTTGTTGTTGTTGTTGTTTGAGATAGAGTCTCGCTTGGTCGCCCAGGCTGGAGTGCAGTGGCGTGACCTTGGCTCACTGCAACGTCTGCCTCCCAGGTTCAAGCAGTTCTCCTGCCTCAGCCTCCCAAGTAGCTGGGACTACAGGCATGCACCACCATGACCAGCTAATTTTTGTATTTTTAGTAGAGAGAGGGTTTCACCATGTTGCCCAGGTTGGTCTTGAACTCGTGACCTCTGGGGATCCACCTACCTCAGCCTCCCAATGTGCTGGGATTACAGGCGTAAACCACCATGCCTGGCCAATTTTAATAAATTTAAATTGTTCATATTTGCAGAGGATTAGCTTATAGTTTAATTCTGATTTCACATTAGGTTAAAATAGTTTTATCTTTCTCACTATGCCATAAAACATAACATTGTCTAATTTTCTTATAGATGCTGGGTATTAGATCTTTCCCAAGATCATGGCCTCAGGAGCTGGAGGTCATTATCCTTAGCAAACTAACACAGGAACAGAAAACCAAATACTGCATGTTCCCACTTATGAGTGGGAGATGAATAATAAGAACACATAGACACATAGAGGGGAATAATACACATTGGGGCCTTTTGCAGGGTGGAGGGTGGGAGAAGGGAGAGGGTCAGGAAAAATAACTGAAGGACACTAGGCTTAATACGTCCATGATGAAATAATCTGTACAACAAACCCCCATGAGACAAGTTTACCTATATAACAAACTGCACTTGTACCCCTAAACTTAAAAGTTTTTAAAAAACCATTATATTCATGCTTTTGTCATTCTTTGAAATTAATTTCCCATTATTCAGATGTTATCAGCACTAGACCCATGTAACTAAAATGAATTTAAAATTATTTTATAAGGGAACAATAAGTCAACATTACAACATCTCTTATCCTTCTTAAAGCAAACTCCTTTATTCAAAATAATGTGACTATATTCTTTAATATTATTCATACTTGACAAAACAGAATAGTGCTCACCATTTCTTGGTAATAACCATCATCTCTGCCTGGGAACATCACAGCCTGCAGCATCAATGTTTCTGAGAACAACATATATTTATTTTGTTATAGATTTCCAACTAGCTGTTTTCACTAGGAAATGAACTCCACTATTTATGTAGGTAAGGAATATTTGCAGTTTGCTGTCTGTGCTTCACAAACATTCTATAATGGGTAGTAAGCCAAAAATAAGTATTAATTTGAAGAGCCCCATAGTCTTTTTTAAAAGTTGGCTTAATTTCTCTGATGCAAACATGGACATCTTCATTCCGCTACTTTTCACAAATTTTTTGTTTTTTGAGACAGGTCCTTGCTCTGTCATCTAGGCTAGAGTGCAGTGGCATGACCATAGATTACTGCAGACTCAATCACCTGGGCTCCAGTGATCCTTCCACTCAGCCTCTAGACTAGCTGAGACCACAGGTGCATGCAGCTATTTGTTAAATTTTTAGTAGAGATGGAGCCTCCCTATGTTGCCCAGGCTGGTCTCCAACTCCTAAGTTCAAGCAATTCTTCCACCTCTGCCTCCCAAAGTGTTAGGATTACAGGAGTGAGCCACCATGCCCAGCCTACTTTTCACAATTTAGTATATCGACGTTTTATTAAATATTTTGAATGGCAATATTTGTTCAAATGACTTGCAGAAGCCCATGTAAAATCAAAATAAGAAGTAATGTCATGGAGAAAATGGACCTAAATATGGATTCTAAAATAATCTCCTAGAGACAGAGACTGGTGGTTACAGAGACTGGGGGTTGGAAAAAATGGGGAGATGATAATCAAAGGGTACAAAATTTCAGTTAGACAGGAGAGGTTTCTTTCTTTCTTTTTCTTTTTTTTTTTTTTTTGAGTTCTGTTGCACAATGTGGTAAATATAATTAATAGTAGAATATTTTACATTTCAAATTGCTAAGACAGTGACAACCAAAATGAGTGTCTGAGGCATAAGTTTCAATCCCTGAGGTTTATTAAGGCAGCTTTAGAGTCTATCTAGGGAAACACACCAGCCACAGTTAAACCTGTGACTATTTTTCTAAAGAGGTTTTTGGGAGGTTTAATATGTACACATTCCTTAAGGGGAGAAGGTATATAGGAAGACAGGTAGGGAGGCAGTAAGGCAAATGGGTACAATCCTGTAAAATTTTAGTTAGTGTCCAGTAAATCTACATTTTATACAAGATATAGTGAATGTTAAGAGAAAAAGGGAGTAAAGGAAGAGCCAATTACATGTACATCTTCAGGTAGGTGAAGAAATGAGTCTTGTTTTTGTTGTGTACCTGAAAGATAAGCTTCCATTTGGAAGAGAATGTTGCACAATTCAGCTTCATGGCTTTAATTTGGGGGGGATCCTGAGATTTTTTTTTTTTATGTTCCAAGAGTAAATTTTAAATGTTCTCATCAAAAAATTCAAGCATTTAACGTGAAGGATAGGTTAATAGCTTGATTTAAAAATACCATGCTTTATTCTTAAGTTATAACGTCACTTTGTACCCCATACACTTACACAATTATAAATTGTCAACTTACAATAAAACAAAAAAGAAAAAAAAAAGCTAGGAAAATATTTTGAAATGAAAATTCAACTCTGACTATAACTCTCAGTTTTATATTCACAAAATTGAGATATACTAATGAAGGTAATCAAAATATTTTACCTCAAAATATATCACCTTGACATAATTTGAAATGGCTGCTACATGGACAGCAGATTGAGGTGGCTCTGTGAAGCCATATTTTGTAGGGAAAATTTGCATCTGTGGAGAATTTCCATTGATGTAGCCAGGACTGCTCTTTCTAGGCATTTCTGAGATCTAGGAGAGGTTACTGATAGCCTGACACTTTTAAAGACCTGAAAAGAAACGTTTACCATCTATTCTCTCTGAGAGTTGCTACCTGTAAGGGTTCATCTATATAGCACAGCCACTTTTGACAGGCAGGACTCTTTCTTTCTCCCTATCATCACCTGTCTTGCCACTAAAATCTGATTTACCAGCATAAATCATTTGGCCATGCTCTGAGCCAACATTCTGTTTACAACCTCAAGATGGTACATAAGCTTCTGTAGCTCATAAGGGGCGTGGTTGTCATTCTGAAGGCTCCCATCTATACAGGTTAAATAAATGTGTATGCCTTTCTCCTGTTAATCATTCTGCCTCATGTCAGTGATTTTTCAGAGAACTTTTAGTGGGCTAAGGGCCTTGGTCCGCACAATATTATCTCATGAAGCTGTTGTGAAGAATAAATAAGAAAATCTATGTACAATAATAAACATAGAATGTGACCTTTTGAGGACAATTTGTACATGCTTTAAAAATATTAAAAGCAATAGGCTGGGTGCAGTGGCTCACACCTGTAATCCAAGCACTTTGGGAGGCTGAGGCGGGCGGATCACACTGAAGTCAGGAGTTCGAGACCAGCCTGGCCAAAATGGTGAAACCCCGCCTCAACTAAAACTACAAAAATTAGCCAGGTGTGATGGTGCATGCCTGTAATCCCAGCTACATGGGAGGCTGAGGCAGGAGAATCGCTTGAACTTGGGAGGTGGAGGTTGCAATGATCCAAGATCATGCCACTGCACTCCGGTCTGGGCGACAGAGCAAGACTCTATTTCAAAATATATGAGAGAGTGTGTGTGTGTGTGTGTGTGTGTGTGTGTCTATATATATAGAGAGAGAGAGAGAGAGAAAGAGAGAGAGAGAGAGAGAGAGAGAAAGAGAGAGCAATAAAATTTGGTTTAGTGTCTATCATATAAGGGCCTTTCTTATTATTTGAAAAATTAAAGAACTGAATGCTATGATTTCTATTGACTATGAGTGTATCAATTAGGAAAAAAATGAACAAATTTTGCTTTGTGATTAAACATATAAAATCAGAAAAATTTTAAATTAGGAATAAGCACCTCAAATAAAACAATAGAAAATAGGTAATTTAACAAGATAAGCTGTCAAAAGGAAACTGAAAATCAAATAATAAGTGGAGAAAATAAGGGAAAGTAGTAAAATAGTCAAGGGCAAGAAATAGAAATTGAGAGTTGAATGACACAAAAGGTCTTGGAATGACCAAAAAACAAGGAGTCTGGGCAGGCCAAGTTTAAAGATCAATAAGGAAACAAGTATTCGAAAAGAAAGTAAACATGAGCAGTACACCTGGAAGTGACCCAAGACAGAGATATAAGAAAAGTATGAAATTGTATGTTGGGAGAGGGGACTTTAATGTGGTACAAACTTTCTATGCAAAGATTATATTTTTCTTTTTTTTTCAAACAAACATTAGCTTCTCTTTGCTATCACAAGAATTCCCTATGTCCATTGGTAATTGAAGCAGATGAAAACCTAGAATCAGAGCTACAACTTATGTTAGGAGTTATACATTTCAGTCTATTGATTCTTCTATAAAATCAAAGCTAGAAAATACCCTTGATTATTCACATTGCTCATTTTACAATTTTGATTTAAAGATTTTCTTTAATGGTGTTTAATAATTCATTAAACATTTACCAAATAACTACAACACAAGACAATGTCCAGAGATGGAGATAAATCGGGCATATTACCTCTCTCTGAGGAGGCTTTAAACAAGTAAGCAGAGAGATAGGTTGAAAATTAAGTGTTATAGGTGAAATTATAAATGCATGTATAAGAGTTTAATATATTTTTTAAGTGGAAAAATACACATAATCAAAATTGCACATAAATATACTTTAAGAGTAACATGCATTTTACCTAAACAAATGTAAGCCAAATAACATGATAATTTGAAAGATACATTTAATTTCCTAAAGTTTATATGTTTCACTCTTTTAAGTATTTATTCTTATCAATATTATTGGTTGATATTATTACTATATATATTTTATGGAGGTTTCCCCTCCATAAAACAGAGGAGTAAGCACATTTCAGGACTACAGAATGCTAATATGTACTTGTTTTCTACTTAAAATCCCAATCCTGTTTCATGGGATATTGTCTGTCTTTATATTCAAAGTTTCCAAGATTTTTTGTTAGGAGGCATGTGAAAAGGTTAGGGAGAAACAGAGACAAAGATTTCAGGGCTGAAGACAAAGTAATATTGGCTGCCTCTTTTATTAAGATATGTCTGTTCAAGTATGTCAATTTTAATTTGTTTCAGTACTCTGAACTTAGTCCCAAATAGTAATAATTCTTTATTATAAATACTTTATGTTCTAATATTACCACCAAGCCCTAAGTTCACTGCTTTTGATATTTGTACGAAAGTGGTGCTTCCGTGCTTCCCTACCATTCCTTGGTAGCTAATGATAGATTTTTCCAACTCAAATTGCACCATTTTCCCACAGCAACCATTTACTACCTTCAATAACAATCTTAATTAAAGTTTCACATCAACATTTTATCCTGCTTTAGATTGTAAATTTGTTTTTAAATAGCTCATAGTAGGCAAACTAACAGAACTCAAATATATATATATACACACACACACACACACACACACACATATATATATAAAATCCAATATGATTATTAATCATTTTTAGGACAACTTTCTTTCATGAAATCCACATCCATTGAAATTTACTATTTATTTTAGTTATATATGTTTAAAACTGTATAAAATGATCAGTGATTCTTATTTACCTAGCTTAAGTAATAATAATGAAAGTGATAGTAATAGTAACATTAAATATCCCTGTTATTTTTGTGAAATCTTCTAAGTTCCAGGATTTCTGCTAAGTAATTTAAAAATATTAACATTAATTCTTGATTGCTTCAAAGGTTTTTAAATCAAAAGCCTGAAGAAATTATACATACAACTTTTAATAGAAAACTAAATTTATGTTGTATTATTTGATTCTATGATTCTATGTATTCAACCATTCAGATGTAATCGAGTTTAAGTTACAATTTCATATAATTTATAAAAAATTAAAAATATCTAGAGTGCCCGTATCTCAAACAGTAAAAATAAGCCAAGTTTATGCTATTGGATGAAATTATTATTATTTTATTTATTTATTTATGTTTTAGAGACAGAGTCTCGCTCTGTCACCCAGGCTGGAGTGTAG